ATACATACATACATACATACATACATACATACATACATACATGCATACATACATACATACATACCTACATACCCTACATGCCATACATACCATACGTTACATACACTACATACATTACATACATTACACTACATTGTATTACATTACGTTACAGAACATTACATTACAGTACCTGCATACATTACATACATACACTACATACATAACAAGCAAACAAACAAACAAACACACACACATACATACATACAATACCATACCATAACTTACCATTACCATTACCATTACATTACACTACACTACACTGCATTACATTACACTACATTACATACATATCATCCATTACATTACAGTACATTACATTACACTACATTACATACATACCAACCATTACATTACATTACATTGCATTACATACAGACAGCCAATGTGTGTATGTATAGGGTCTTATATATGTGCGTGTATGTGTGGAAAGAAAAGTCTTGAGTCTTGAGGACACTGCCGGTGCCGCGCTTGCCTTCCTCCATATGCGCGGTTTTGTCCTGAACCTGGAGAATAGTGTGAGAGGGATGTGAGAGGGGCACATCGGGTGTGTGGTGTATCTCTGCATCACCAAAGTCCCAGGAATGGGCAATCAATCCAACCACAGCACCATGCGGTCGGCATAAATTGAATGGAACTTCAATTGTGGCTTCACCAGAAGCCATGTGTGTTCATCTATTGGCCAGGAGGTAAAATTTGAGAGTTCAATGCTCTCCATGGCCTGCTCGGCTTCCTTCTGTCTTTTGATGTTTTTCAACCTGGGCCGGATAGCTTGCTTCTGTAACGTTTTGTGAACCGGCTACTACGAGTGGACAATGTGAAACAAACTGGAACAGGATCTGAGGCCATTCGTCAGTCATCCATCCGCAACAGCGGCGAAACGCTTCCGCGAACAAAGCAGCCCATCTGTTGGCCCCCCGGAGGTAAAGGATCGATGTCTTCGAAAGCCACAAGCACCCTGCATGACTGACCTGACCATACTCCAAGCACTGGAAGCCTTGCAAACATTGGCATCATTAGCAGGCTCATGGGCTTGGACTTAGGCATCAAGTTCATTCAGTCCCATTATGCCATTCATATCTACCATGACCATGACCGATTCCTGGCTACAAATCGGCTCTGCACGTATGTGTCCAGCCTTCCAACGTAAAAAGCACTCCCCGGCACCCCCGGGGTTCAAACCCGCTCTCCGATGTGGAGCGCAGCATGGGTCGCTCGCTGAGCGTGGCCTTTTTGGCTTGGCTTGGGCAAAAACGGGAGACTGCTCAAGGACTACCAAAGACCCTTAATTGTTCTCAAATTACGAGACTCTGATTCTGGTGCACGAGGCATGCAGCCTAGGACCCTGGCCGTGATAACACACTTTCATGATCTTATCTCTAGCTGTTTGATTCAATGTTTCTATCAGCATATACCTGGAGCACCCTCCAAGAGCACCGCGCTGATTTTTTGGTCTGCAGCCACGACTCTCAGCACGAAACATCCTTGGAGGTGCCACTCCTTGTGGGAGCTCTCCTTAGTGCAAGCTGATCCAAGCCACACTCTCGAGAAGTTTCTAGGATTCAAAAGGCTAATCACCCACAAATGAACCACCAACCAACCAACCAGCCAGACAGCCGGCCAGCCAGCCAGCCAACAAACAAACAAACAACACCATGATGAATCTGGGTGCCTCCACTGGGTCAAGCATGTTCATGCCCTACCACATAGGATCCATCAGGCTGATGAGTGAAGTCCCCGGAAACCAGGCCCCGGAAGGTGCTTTGCTCAATGCCCAGCTGCAAAGGCGGCTGCACCAGACGTGGACCGAAACGCGTATCCTTCCTGCTTCTCATCGCAGGAAAAAAACAAGAGAAACAGCAGTACCTTTGGAACCGTGCTACGGCCAATAAGCCAGCATCATTACAATTCAGGCATCATATGCGGAGAGATTGCAATGGGTCTTCGGACTTTAAGTTACATTCCCTGAGACCTGTGCACTGCACCACCTGCAGTGCACTGCTCCAGCCATTGACATGCCTCCCAATTGCACCTTATACATATAGATGTTTTAACACCAGCTTTAGGGCCTCATGTTCATTGCGTCGGGCCCTCTGCTAGGATTGATCGCTTTCTCATCAACCAAATCCATGCAATGTGACCAGTGCCAAAGGCCTCGGTATAGGGCTTGTAGAAGTTGTAGTCTGCGTGCACACCGCTCCGCACGAAGCCAACTCAGGCAGCTCCCAAGGCAAAGAATTCAAAGCTTTGAACTCATGCAGGCCCCAAGGCAAAAACCGGTGACATCAAAACACGCTTCAAATATGTTCAATTTCACAGGCTTGAGCTGAAACGGTCAACTTCCTACAGGCAACAAGCACCACTACCACTCCAAGGGTTAGCTTGTCGCACCTGGCAAAGCATCCTCCAAGCATCGGGTGCCCTCTGCGATTGCAGAAGCAACCAGCTCGTGGGAATCCTGAAGCATCGGGACTTTCAGGAAGCTAAGGTGGGAAGGCCAGGCCCAAAGGCACTGCCAAACAGCGAACGCATCTGACAAAACGGCGTGGGCCCCAGGCCTGGCCATAGAGGCGCTTGTCCGGTTGACCATCACAGCGCCCCCACAAGCCCAGCACCAAGAGGGTGCCCAAATCACTGGTGGCCTATCCCAGCACGCACGGACACAAACAAATGCGTCTAGTAGGCTGCCTTTGTTAAAAATATATAGTTAAACCTGTTCCCTTTGAAGAAGCGTTGTGTCCCCAGCAATTCTAGGAAATTATTCGACCCGCGGCGAGGGAATCAGAGCCAGTCGAGTGCCTGAGCATTCTTCAAGAAATCCAAAGCCAACTCACCACTGATGCTTCCAGCTTTCTCTGGCTTCAGGTCTGTGCAGTCTTGCATAGCCACAGCCTAGGTTTTGAGAACAAAACAGCTCGCCCAGTAAACCAAGTGGAGGCTTCGTGATCCAGTGACGAATCTTGATGCAACAATAAATATATATATATTATGTATACAAAATACATCTAACTACTTATATATATATATGTATGTATGTCTATAAATATATATATATATGACACGACGCATCTGTACATACGCATTATATGGCATTGTCGAATCCATTGCATTCTATTGGCCATCATAGAGTAATATCTCTCACTCACCCGCTGCCGCCTCACAGCATTTAATATATTTTTTGTTTTTACTATGATTAAGATTGATAGATTGATTGTGAATCTGCTGCCGCTTCAGGCCAAAACAAGCGACCGGGAAGTTGAAAATCACCATTGAGTAGTTTGCGCAGTTCACCTGACAGAGGACATGTTCTCTCACACAGCCAGCAGTCCAAAGGGAGGCTGAGATGGTTGGATTGAGGAATGCACGTCATATGAAGCAGCATCACGAGTCTAGCTTCCCCAAGAATGAAAGCGTCAAGCATTCGGCTGGCCTGACGCGCATCTACACCGAAACGAGCATCATGGCCAAGCTTGCGCAAGCCATCCACCATGTCAACATGGTTTGGATATCTTTCCTTCCATTGCTCCTCCTCCAACCTTGCACGAGGCACGTCGAAAGGCTCCACATTCATGGTGAAGTGCAATCCAACAAATCTGGAAGGGCCTTTACGCGTTACCGTTACAAGAGTTGCACAGAATCCAGTTGGGCTGACTGAGATTCATCCTTTCATCTTCCACGAAAATGGTACAGTAATTGTCACACGCATTTTGACTGCCGGCGAACGGATGAGTCAAAAGTATATGTCTTCCAGTAGTCACCAGCAGTCCCGACTGCGAGGACAGCAGTGAAAAACTGAGGAAACACGTTCAAACACCTAGTCATCGACTTACGTTCATATCTCATCATATCCAATCATAATCATACCTATAAACTGTTTATATGACACAGCGTCTCATTGTTTGACAAGTGTTTGGTGACCTGTTCTGGGACATCAGGCCATGGTCAGGCCGCAATCAGAAGCATTAAAAACTCACCGCGACATCTACGCCATGCCATTTAAGCCAAAGGAGGCAATGACAGGCAAATGATCAGATGGATGCCATGAATTCGGCAGGATCTCATAGGGTTCGCCAAAAATGTGGTCGAATTGCACTTGGCTGAGAACCTGATCAACTCCAGTCAGCTTCAAAGTAGCTCCTGTAAAGTAGATGTAGTCGAAGCGAAGTTCATAAGGACCATCTGCTGGTTTTGCCAAGCCGGAACCTCAGAAGCACGACAAGTCACGAGGCATTTTGATTTTTGTGCAATGACCAGCGCAATGCTTCCCGTGCAGTCGATATAACAAGTGCAAAAACAAGCTGTGGGCGTACAATCGGCCCAGAAACCTACCAGTTCACGCATATCATGCTCCACACCCCAAAATTTTCCATCGGCAAGCTCTGCTGCATACAAAGCGTGAAAATCCTCCCGGCAAAGTTCATTCCTGAGACGCAAAGCCCAGCAGATATGGATACACAACTCTCTGCAAACTGCAACAGCACAAAACGGCAAATTGCACCCTTGCATCTGGTGGTGCCCAGTTGTACCGACTGCCTTTTTTCGTTAGTGGCTTGTGTGGGATGCACTTGCCATAGCTTTCTCGGCTTGACACAACGCTTCCACACCCGCGAGGCCTTGAAAGGTTGAGATTTGTCGGCATCTTTTGGCAAGTGTCCGGCCAGTTTCTTCATAGACTTTCTGCACAAAGCGAAACTCACTGCCCCTCCCAAGTGCTCGGTTGACTTTCAGCAGGAATCGCTCAACGTCATCAGAGCTCAAGACCTAGAAAGCGTGAGGACAGTTGGAATTTGTGGAAAAGCACTACTGAATCAAGTTGAGTATCCTACCACTATTTCACAACAAAGTTGCTCCCCTATCACCTCTCAAATCTCTAAAACTCTGCGGTCGCGGCTTACCACACTACAGCATGCTTTTTGCCATCATGATCTCCGACTGGTCTGTGTGCATGCACATGCAACGCATCTAGAACCTTCAAACATGGCCACGAGTGAGTGAATTCAAGAAATGACTGTAATGATCAATGACAGCCTGGATTCAGGCAAGTGCACTAGCCCAATGGCTGTGTTCAAACACCATGTGCACACTGAAGGTCTTGAGGAGGGATCTTTAGGCTTGGTTTGAGGGAGTCAAGTTTTTTTTGGGTCGAGTCTATATATATATATATACAGTATATATATGTGCCAGCTAAACATCTGGCCACCAAACCTAATCAGTATACTGTGCAGGTTCGCTTTCAACAGTGTTATCAAGTGCCCACAAAGAAAACAAGAGCACTACCGCAACCCCTGCATGGTTTCGAATGGACGGATTGAACATGTTTGCTTGTTTAATCTATATAATATATATATATATGTGTGTGTGTGTGTGTGCGTGTTTTTTAGATTCATATCCCGTCACGCCAAAAGAATACACGTCCGTCAAGAGAATTGAGCTCAGAAACATCATGATCTGCACGGCATGAGTCAAAGGCAGCATCGAGCTTTTGTTGCATCTCTGGAGTTAGAGTTCCATCACTGGTCAACATTTTGTCAGCAATATTTTGCGCTAGAATGGTTGCAGGAGGGCGACCATATCCAGATTCTGCTGCATCCTGAAAAAGTGCCAAACCATGTTTCTTGACCTTTGAAGTTATCTGCTTGCCTTCTTGCCCAATCTCAGTTGGATCGCCAGACTCCCTGAACTCTGGGTGAACCTCACCAGTGGTCAACAATTCCCGAACTGCTGTCGCACCCTGACTGTTGAAATCTCCACAGAAGACGATCGGGACGTGAGCTGGATTCATCTTCAACTTTTTGATCTCCTGCACATGCTGCGATGCTTGCCCTCTGACTGTCAGTAGGGCCACAAGGCTTGAGCTATGACAGGAATTTAATGAAACTGATATAGATCAAACATGCACCAACTGGTACTGGCAAACCTCTCTAGGAATTTAGGCACCTGAAGTATCAAGAGACCATGCAATCCATCAGTTTTTAAGTGAGTTTGTCTCTAACTTTGCCCGTCTCCTTTTCAACACAATCTAAGGCTTCGTGCACCTGCCGTAGTCGTCGATCTGCATTCGGCCCGGCAGACAGGTGAACATTGACGATGAACATCGTCGTTGGCTCCAAACCAGCTCCTACATGGGGTCATGCCTGGGCATGCTACACCCTGAAGACGAAGTCACTGGAAAATTGTTTTTTAGGAGGAGATTGGTCATTGTTTTGCCTTCAAGGGGCATCTGCTGCAAAACCAAGGAGCCTCCGAAAGGTCCGATACGTGAAGGAACCTCCATGAACCCTCCCAATCACCAATCACCGTTCCACAAGCTTAGATTGCACGCATTCTTTGGTGAGAGTCCTGGTCGTTGCAGACCCACAACAAGACTTCGGTCTTTATGCTGAGCTGTGATCTTTTGCCAATGAGGCCGCCAACAGGTTGCAGGCCTCATGCGGCCTTTCTTTTCATGCATCAGGATTTCATATCCAGCCTCTCTCCTCAGCTTGTTGAATCTTAATATGAGCTGTATACCGTAACATGTTCTTAACCACCAGCGGCTAAGTGATTAGAATGAAGGAGCAAAATGCACTGCACAAATCAAAGGTCCAATGTGTACTGTATGTTAATGCCGGCTGAGCTACAAGAATCCAAAGTCTTCCTGGAAAGAAAGTTCGCAAACCTCTTGCAAGCACAGGACCTCCGGCCCGACGTCCAGAATTTGCTGGCGAAGTAAAGCTTGGCGCTCGGTCCAGTCTGTGTGTGACCCTCGTGAGTCACGATAGTATTTGTAAATCCACCAGCCGTCCTGGCTGTTAGGCAGTAGAACATTGTAGCTCATGCAAGTGAAGACTTGCGTTGGGCCTGGTCAGAGTGAGCAATCAAAAGAACACAGTTGTTTCAAACAGCTAACGACCAAACGAAGTGATGCAGTGTACTCTGTGTCACACTTGTTTTGACTGGGGTCTCTGGTGAATCATACATGTCGGTGAATGCATCTACTTCCTCCATTTCCTCCACACGTTAAAGCACCTGAAGGAAACGCACCTGGTTCCTTGGGCTTATGCTCCTCATTTTCCGGATTTGTAGATGTCCACGATCTTTGAAGAACATAGGGCTCTCCAGTAAGGATTGGCAGGCCAGAGGTCGACAAATCATCGAGTTGCTCTGCCATGCAGGTGCTTGGCCAAAGGGCCGGTAGGCATGATACTATGTGAACACTGCGCATAGCAAGTAAAGACATGTATCATAATGCACAAATATTACATACATCTCTATATAGTCTATATATACTTTGTACTATATTAGCCAATATATACAAGATACATATATGTGTATACATGGTTGTGTGTTTGTGTTCTTTTCGCTGTTCTGTTCGAAAGTCCAAAGGTCCGGTGTTGACTTCAAGTAACGAATCTTGACAGGAAGGTCAACTGTCTCATGGAAAAATGGTGTTAGAACCCAGCATGAAGAAGCGCTCGAGCCTGGAATCGGCTGCGTGCAATGGTAATAAAGTGCTTCGGCTTTGATTTACCTATTAGCCGATATATCTTCCATCTCATGACTGTTGCCAATAACCCACAAAAAGAGTGAAGTCTTAAGTTGACGGTTAGACGTCGTTGGAAATCTCAACCCTCAAATCCACACTCTCCTTGGTGCTCCTGAACACTTCCAGGCCAAGAGGAAACGTTGGACCATGTTGGACCTCGTCAACACCTGCCCCTCTGATCATACGCTGATTGGGTAAGTGTGCTGAAGTCTTGCCAAGCAGCACTGTGGTCGCATCAATGGCTGAGTCTTGATGGAGAACTGCGGCAGCTGAGGCAAAGGTGAAGTCACCTTCAAACCGCAAAAAGTCACGGTGCGACGGACTCTGAGACAGCCGGACTTCCCAACCTCAAACTATTGCAGAGTCCCAAATTGATTGATGTCTGTGCACTGAAGGGTGAGTGTCCCGAGTGTGTGGGTGTTGTCGTCTCTGCTGTCATGGATGTTTGCATAATATATAAAATAGCATGATTGACGATTGACTCTCAGACTCTGACAACAAGCGATACTATTATGCAGCTTCTGCACATGTCGGATCATTGCTGAGTTCAGGTGCCAGCTCAGCTCGCTGGGAATCTGCCCACCTTCACCCAGGAGTAACACCCGCCCTTGCCATGCATCGGCTACCACTTCTGCAGCAACTGACTCTGACGTCGCCTTATATCCATTGCACATTGACTGTGGCCAACTACCACAAACAGGACCACCGTTGTATGGTGGATGGTGGCATGGTCATGTCATAGCAAATCAAAGTTATCAAAGTCATAAGCTTTCCATCTACAAAGAGAAAAGTCACCAGAGTTTCTAGTGTCATTTGCTGCTAGAAGCATCACTTCACTTATATAGGGTCTTCTCGCCAAGTGTCTGGAAGCATGGCCGGAGGTGGCCCCGAAATCGAGAGCTTTGTGACTTGTGGTCGTCCGCCAATTTGCCCTAGCCTGAAGGGCATGAAGAGGTAGAGTATGGTACAGTGTTTAGATGCGACGGGTTGAAGTCATCCCGAGACCAGACCAAACATGACCAGACTACACATGCACTGCACTTTAGGACCATTCGGATCACTAGAACCTCAGTCTCCGAGGCTTTTATTTAAAGTTTTGTCTGGGCGACAAATGCTGATCATCAGGTTTAATCGGAGAAATGACGACCTCAAAAGCTCTGTCTGTGTCTGTGTCCAAGTCTTTGAAGGCATTCGCACCTATCAACCGCCCTTGTCCTGGCTTGCCCACATTGCACGTTGCGGCGCCTTGACACCCTGCTGTGCACATGCACATGGCGTGCACAAGGGAAGCGTAGGAACATGTGAATGTTCTATCCTAGTATGAGAGACCTGTCTGCAGTTGGTGTGGAAAAGCCAACTTGACCTGCCCATTCTGCCCCACCCCTCAGACCAAACCAGCCAGAGAGCCTGATGAGAAAAGTCACTGGCTGGCCCAGGGAACAGGACTTCAAGAAACTGTAGTCCGCGTGCGCATCTCCGCCGTACATATCCATGATCTCCTGAAAAGGCCAAGACAAAGCAATGAATCACCTCACGGGATTCGGACCCGTACATGGCTATACAACCAAAGCCCTGCGAACTGAAGCAACTCCTCTCCTGCTGGAGGCTACTGGAGGGCATATGTCCGAATGCATGTAAAAGCCGCGGCCTCTCCATGAAAATGGCACTAATTATTTGGATCGCGATCGTGGTTCTGTGACCATAATTCCAGTCTTCGCAGGGCAACGCCAAAAAAGAAGAGCAGAACTCCAGGAGCATCTAGGAGCCACTTGTGCAAACGCTATGCCGACACCACACAGTGTTAGTCCTGGCACTCGACGAAGCCAAAGCCCTTTTCCTCAGAGAGATATTTCACGGTCCCCTCAAAGTCGTGGTCCTTTCGCAGGTCGTGTTTGGATCATGTTTTGATGCAACGTTGAATTATATATATATAATATATGTGCATATATATATATATATAAATTATGTATGAACACAGCACATAGTTTGCGTCGACGGGAGGAAGCTGCAGCCAGAGCATGCGTGGTAGCTCTCACTTCTCCTCCATGCCAGTGCCCCTGTTCAAAGGCAGCAAATGTCGGACGTTGGGCTGGCCAGCATCATTCAAGGCAATCATAAAACTCACCTCGGATTGAGCACTTTGGAAGACCAAAGCAACACCGGGCCGTATTGGACCGCTGCCGCCTATGACAGCTTTAGCGAGATTCCCAGCTAGTGGAGATGAGTCTTTCGTTTCTGGCACGATATGCCCAGCAGTGCTTACGTGCAGAGGGTCTGGTTCCAAGCTCCAGAGAAATCCGCTCTCACAATGCTTACCTCCTCCACTAGTGTTTGCTATACAAAACGATTCGGCAGGAATTGGAGAGTCTCTCCTGAGGTCACCGGAAATAATATATGTATATTATAGTGTAATACGTGTATATATTACATATATGTATGTATACATATTGACATATGGTGTATATATATATATATACATACACACACATATATATATATATGTGTGTGTAAATACACAGTTATATATACAATTATATACATATAGAATTATACAATACATATGCCCAAGAAAAACTACATCGGTTTTCTGCCAGAGCAATCCCGCTGTTGCAAGCAAGAGACCGAGATGCCACTCGTCGCAGCACCACCTATCACTCTGTGATGGGTGCTGCATTAGGAATTTGTTGCTAGGCATTCACTTGTCTCAGGCAGGCATACAGAATTGATACCCTTGCAATTGCAAGTTGCTCCTGACTACTCCTGGTTCAACCTCCGATTGCAGGCCTCGCAACGGACCACTGAAGCTGCCTACTCGTTGCGATTCCGCTGATCCACGAAACCTTCGATGGGCAGCCAAGGAAGCCATCTAAACCTTGGAACTCGCCTCGGCAAAATGCATGATGCAAAATCGCTTTGCTGACATACCTCAGTGAATGGGAGTCTTCCCTTCAAGCGGAGTGGCTGGCAGCAAACATGGGAAATGAGAAATTCAAGACCACCTTCGGATCCAGGAGGGTGTCTGAAGCGCATGCGACTCTGACTCTGGGAAGCACAACTGGCACCATTCTGTCACCATTGTGGGATGGATGTCCCATCGTAGTTTGCACAACCACTGGTAGTGAGAATTCGCGAGATGGCTTGCACTCGATTTGAAGACATTTGAAAACAACATGTTGTACAGCTACCTCGTACTCAGGCGTTTTGAGGCATGTTTGTGTATTAACCCCTGATCGATTGGTTGCCAGTCCATGCAGCTGTCCTGACATTATCTGACATTCTTTGTTTGTAATAGTCCAGCCTCATAATAGCGATGGCCTCCGTGCGACAAGGCTGTCTTTGCAAGTTTCTGACACCAAGCCAAGAGGCACATCGCGACCATAGGCCGCAGCTGTCTCTGTGCATGCAACGAAGGCGTAGTCACCACCTGTTGCAGTGTGGCAAATCACTACCTCCCCCCACCACGCCGTTACCACTTCCGAGTCAACAGAGTCACCCTTAAGAATCCAAAGAGCATATTGCAAGAGTTGCCGAGAGTCAAGCAGCATGTTTAAAATGCCCCCAAAAAAAGAAAGAACTGTCATCAAGCACTTCGCGTGTGTTCCAACCCTGTCGCACCTATGGATTTCAAGACGCCAGTAAAGCGGCGAGGTGCTTGGCCTTGGAGCGAACTGGCGCGGTCTCCGCCCTCTGAAACGACCCCAAGCAATTCAAGCACGTACAGGCGGTCTCTGAGATCACCGCAAGAGCTACAGAACAACATCTCGCTGCCCTCATTCTTGGAGTCACAAGCGGAGCAAAGCCTTGGTTATAAACCAAGGCTTATTGTCTTAAGCCTCTCCATGAGACCATCAGGTTCCCGTTTTGATCAAGCGCGAAACTGCATGGCATGTCCCACGTGCGAGTGACAGTGAGGGTTTTCCCCCTGTGATTCTTTGTGATCCATGCTCAGTTTGCAGAGTAGTCCTGTGTGCATCGACTGACACAATTCTGTCCGCACACAGGGCCAACGTGAGAGTTATCTCAAGTGAAGACTGCTGGCATAGAATCTCAAGACTTAGACTTAGACCCAGTCATCGTTGTCTGGATGCCTCTTCGGAAAATGAGCCATGCTTCCGCCGTTCTACATGGGAGGCAATTGGCCAGCGAAGGTGCCCACACAACATGCATGAACATTCCTTCGGCAGCTCCAAGAACAAGTCTGTGTTTGGACAAAACATTACCGTCAACACGGATCGAGTAAAGGAATCCTCTTTCAAACCTCTCTAGTTGTTTGGACAAGTGTATAAATATTCCTGCCAATCATCAGTTTTACCATTAAATTGCCGCAAAGAACCATGGCTCAGTCTCCTTCACAGGTTCTGAGTCCTGGCACGCTGGAATCATGCCCCATGACACATCTTAGCACACGCGGCCAACTTGCTCACACATTGGTCACTTTGGCATATGGACAAGCGTTTGACAAAGGACCCCAGGATTATGGAGCGCTGAAAGGCACATACAGCTCACTGTTGCTGATAGAATCGGATGATTGAAATTGAAGTTCTCGGCCCTCGATCGCTGTGAAAGTGGCACGAAGAACGACATCATGCAATCGCTTGCATTGCTCCAACCAACGCAACGGTCCTTCTCCTGACCAGGGCCAACGCGAGGTTCTTTGCACCCCAAGGGCCCAATTCCACCGCACTTGTCATTGCCAGCCTCAATTCTGAATCAAGCGAGCTACAGTCAGAAAATATGTTTCACAAGATGCCTGGATCACCGCCGGATGTTGAAGGCGCAGGTATGTCAAAGCCCGGTGCACCGCTAAAATACCCGTCCAACGGCCTGCTTACTTCAAGCAGTGGATGATGCTGGTGGCCCCAATCAATGCGTTTTCTTCGTCCAGTACCGAGATTGAAAAGATCACACTGGTTTCAACCGGCTTCCTGCAGTCCTCAAAAATATGTACTTGCTAGGGGGTGATTTCGAGCCTTCCTGCCCAAGCAGGCCTTGTTCATTTGTTAATATGTGTTATGTCTGTTGGCAATTACAACTATAACCTTTTCAAACCAGGTATCGGGCAGTGTGCTTAATAGGGGACAAAACGAGGGACGCGGCGGGAGGCCCTTGAATTTGACGAGTTTAGCCACCTCACTATAGGTTCAAAAGGAATGGTCCACCTGGTTTTAGCTCCAGGTAACCCAAAATGAATACTGTCTATACAAATATATACAGTATATATATATATATCAAACTAATATGCTTGATCGTTCCTTTTCTCGTCCGAGTTGCTTGTTTCATTACTGGGGGCTGGATTGGGATGCAAAGAACAAAGCGCGAAGTGTTGATCCTCCAGGAAAGCTCGAGGAAACAAGTGGAACCAGAAGGCTGTGATTTGCAGCAAAAGTGATCGAGAAAGTAAAGGGCCTTCTCTCTGTCCACACACATCTTACATCCCCTTTATATCTCTATTAGACAGACAGAGTTGTCAGCAGCCTTGTCAGGCTTTAGAATATGAGTCCAAAGAGCTTCTGGTGCACTGAATCCACGTCCCCATACGTCTCCATTCCAACCTTTCACACGCACCTCCTTTGCCCATCCATCATCTCTGGCTCACCGAGGCACATGATTCTTGAACCCACAACCTCAAAGCAAAAAGGATCTTCTGCTCTCTGCTGCTCTCTCGATGCCTGGGAATCATGTGTTCTTAAATTGCAGGAATTATACTGTTCCCCCCTCCTGCTTCAATTTCCTGTCCCCTCCCCCTCCCTGGGCGGTGCTCTGTGCAGCTGAGAGTCTGCCACATACCCACGCGCCTGTGGCCACAGCATCTGTTCGGACAGGCGGTACGGTTCCTAGGATACCCGTATTGCATCAAACTGGTCCAAATGGAAGCAAGGAGCAAGGACGCTACTAGTAGCTCCTGGCCTTACTACTAGTAACAAGAAGCTAGTAACAAAGGGCCTTGCTACTAGGAGCAAGGACGCTACTAGTTGCTTCATATTGCTTCCGGCAAGAGGCTGGGAGCGTTCTCCGGCTCTCTGGGTTCCAAGTCTGGACGCAATGCAGAGCAGCCCATCGCCCCGGTTCCACCGCAAATAGAGTTCCTCATCAAAAAACAAAAGCAGCGCCAGGCAAATCACCTACCTGACTCGAAAGGACTGCCCAAAATATAGATAGCATTACATAATTATCATTGCATAATTTGACAAAAATAGAGCAACTTAACAAACATTGCAATACATAGCGCAACATATAGCCTGTACAGTGTATAGCTCGTTGGTGGACACCCCCACAAAGATCGGAGCAACTTCCCAATTCCTTCCCACATGACTTGTGCGCCAGCGATAACTCTGTCAAAAAACTCCTGGTGTACATTCCGCCACACTGTGCCACACTCCTTCCATTTGAGCCTAGATTCGTGGGGCGATTCCGAAAGCCACAATGCAGGCACTGCCAAATGCCCGTGGATGGCACTGGCAAAGGCTGCGATCCTGCCACGCACACAGGGCACACGGGCATTAGGGGGCACTGGTCACTCGTTGATGCTCGTCATCTGATTTTTCTTAGTATATCCGCATAGCAGCCAGCAGTTAGCCGACCAAACGTCTGTAATCAAAATATTCCCATCGCCTCCATTTGTTTGCTCACGTGTCCTTTGTTTGCTTTCTGTCGATGGCCCTCGCATGCCAGGCTCATCAGGTGATCCTAGTTCCAACCTTCTTCAAAAGCGTGCACGCTGCTTGTTGGACACGCCTTGCTAAACTAGAACTGTCTACGAACATCTAGGACTCTCTCTCTCTCTATATATATATATAATATGGCCTAATTAGGCCACTCAACATCGAAGGAGGATGTCCGTTTGCTAGGACTACATCATTGCAAGGCAAGCGATCACATTGTCATGTCATGACACTTTGTGAGATGTTGCAAGGGTTGTCTCCTTCGCGCTCATCGATTTGGCCCACGTGCTTTGGCAAGCTGCAACCCAAATGTCCAGTTCCACCACACGTGCTGTTGGATGCGCGGTTCCGAAAGCCACACCGGCACAGCCACTCCACTCCGGCTCCCGAAGCTCCCGAAGCTGCCGAAACTGCCGGCGCTTCGGCTGGTAGAAAGGATGGAGAAAGGGAGGATTGTGCTTCGGTTGGTGCTGGAGGGGGCGACCGTGGTTCTGCAAATGTCGCAGCCTTTGTGGTAAAAATGCTTGGAGGAAGGATGTCTGGTGGAAAAGCTTCAGGCACCGGAATCTGTTGGTTGCCTTTGAAAACAGCCGCTATGGCTGGATCAGGTGGAGGCGCTCGATATCCTTCATCCAAGCCTAAACTCTCGAGAAGAAGTCTTCGTTCCAAGTCTTGCACCATGTCCGCTTCAGCAAGGGCGCGGGATCCAAGGTCAACTTGGCGGTCTGGTCGAGGCTGTTTGCAGCCCAAGCTCCCTGTACCGCCGCAAACATTGTTGCCAGGACGGTTGTTGAACCCGCATTTGCCGCACTGCCTGCGCACAAGTCAAAGTGTCAGTCACTGGAAGCATTCGAGTCGCCTTGTGTCATCTGCCCAATTTTGTGAAGGCCTTCAAGTGGATGCTTGAGGTATACCAGATTATACCAGTATAGACCCCAAACAGTTTCAGCAAGAGTTGTTTGAATCATCAAATCATTGAATTCCAATGTTTAAATATAAAACATACACAGACACACATATACAGTGTATGTATATATATATAATTATATATATATATATATTTCTATCGCCTCCAGCTGTTTGGGAACTGGACATAAGGCGTTGCAGAAAGGTAAAAGCAGCACGCCCACGCAGGGACAAGGACGGGACAAGGCGGAGAAGAAAGGGCCCACGATGCGGCCAGCCTCGGACAAGGCCTGAACAAGGCCCGCGCAAAAGGCGGAGAAAACAGGGCCAAGCATGGACAGAGACCGCGAGAAGGCCTCAACAAGCCGCAGACAAGGCTTGTTAACACTGAGGCCCGGGACAGGGCCAACAGCATAGACACACAGCCTCGGACAAGGCCTGGACCAGGGTGAAGCCGGCACAGCCACGGCTATCGTGGCCAACCCACCCTCCCAAAAGAGACCCCCAACAGCAAATTGCTTGGGAAAGAATAAAGGTTATGAAAGGTTGATCCCCTACTATGCAGGTGAAGACCATTCTTGCCGAGAGTCCAAGTTGACATTTTCCCGTGGGGTCGTCAAGTCGACCTGGGTGCCCTCTGCCAGTGTGGAGCATGAGCACCGAAATCGTGAAAAGCCGAGGATTTCTGGCTGATTCTTGAGCCCAGTGGAGAAGCAGTGCTTATGGCTTATGGCATGCTCAAAGACTCAAAGCTCGTATTATGCCCATACAACTGACAATGTCAGCAGCTTGCGGGCATGTATTATGATGTATATGGTACATGATGAGCCCCTGAGTTTGCTAACGGTGAAGCTCCCATTGACAGCCGTCGTCCTTGTAGTTTTTCAAACTGTTGCTCGGCTGCTCGGTTACAAAGATGTGTAAATAATATATAACTATAGACTGTATACAATATGACAATATACATATATATATATTGGCATATATCGGCAATCAATGTTTCAATCTCTTCGTCTTAAAACACTGGGCTCTTGCTAGATGTTTATTCTTCCTTTGCGAGCGCATCAAGTCTGGGCTCTTGCTGACCCAGATCATCCACCACTTCCTTCGTCACCTTGGTAGCAAGGTGGCAGCACTGGTAACATGTGGTGGGGGCAGGTGTGGCATGGTGTTTTCAATTGTGTTCATCATGTTCTCTTGTGGGACCCTTGACACCATGTGTCAGCTTCATGACACTTAATTCACAATGCTGTGACAGGTTTCTACTAAAGGGAGCGCAGTGACAGAATAAAAGTCAGACCAACCAAGCCCTATGCCAAAGCCAGATACCGGCTGCGCCATGAATTTCGCCTCAGACAAGGGTTGATCTCCCCTCCCTCCCTCTCTCTCTCTCTCTCTCTCTCTCTGGTCCTTGCAGCTTCCAAATCAAGTCCCCAAAAGTAGGCGACAACGCGCTACGACCAAGTGCCTTTTTGAAATACATGTCAAGCACTCAAGAATCCCCGTTCAGCTGGCACTACACAACTTCCGCTGGCCAAGGTGCACATCGTTGGAGGGAACGCTTGAAAGAGTTGTGAAAAGGATTGCTTTCCTTACGAATCCGCGTGTGTGTTCAGATGATCAATGCCGGCAACAACTTGCTGAAAGACCAATCACATATGGAACCACCTGCGAAGATGCTCAACACGGCCGAGCGGCTGGATCATTGGGAGGGAAAGGCAAATGTAGGGCAGCATGCGCCAGAATCAGCACAAGGAACACCGCCAAGCTCCCGTAGTTTTCCTTCAGTACCTTTGCTGTTGCAAAAATGAACACTCACAGATCAACTCCGTGCAACTCCAAGGTCGCTGGTTCCTGGGAGGCCACGTGCCTAAATGCCCAAGACCGGTTGCAAATGGTAGGGCTGCGAGGATGACTTCCGTCGATGTGACGTGTGGCAGTGTGGCCAACCAATGTAACTTGAAACATCAATGTGGCAGGCGGATGCAGTAGCATCTTGATCTTCAATACTTTTCTCCGGCACAACAGCATAATGGACGGGACGGTGCCAAAGAGCACAGCGGCTTGTAGGACCGTGCCGCCCACAAAAAAACAAGTCAACCGCAAACATCAAGCAAAGCTAGTGACTGGCAGCGCTGAGCATTGGCAAGTTGCACTCGTGGCGCCAAAGCCAGCGAAGTACAGTAACACCACTGGGACTGATGTTAATAGCCTCAGACACAGCGCCAAGGACCAAGCTTGTGAGTACCATGCTAAATCATTGCGGGTGTCGTATTTGCCCTGCCCTCCCTTCCAAACAATATCAAAACGTTTCTACCCTGGCCGATTGAGCCTTCAAACAAACATCACGTGTATGGAAGAAAGGAAGGTTGATTAGCTCACCTTGGCTCCAAGCAGCTCGCCCTCAGCTGAGGAGCTCAACAGCCCCACAGAAACCATCAATAGTGGCCTCAGCTCGAGCTTTGACCTTGTAAGGCGCCTTGATGCAAGAGTTCATCCCTTGAGTAGAGTCTGTAAAGTGAGCTATGCGCGCCAAAACAATGTTTTACCATGTTTTGCTTGAATCAGTCCGCGTAATTCCTGCGGCAATCCGCCCCAAACGATGGCAAAGGCGGAACAAACATCCCTTTGGCCTAGTCACAAGGTTGACATGGAGATGGCCAAAGCGTCTGAACTCCGGTGCCACGAGATCTGCGTGGCCTTGACTCACAAGGATCGTTCTGTGCCACGTCAAGTGTGTAAACCCGCCAGAAGGAGTGCGGCAAAGAATCTAATCAAATCAAACGGTATGAGGAAAAACAATTGGACCCCTTTTAAGGGGGGACCCTTTTCACGGGGATCCGTTTTCTCGCTTCTTCTCCTACAGCGAATCACTCCATGCAACCCATCGGGAATCCCCAAGGCGCTCCACCAAAGACTTGATCTGCTACATTTCTCAAAGAGGCGCGCCTGCTTGATACTCCAAAGCAGACCGATAATACCATCCATAAGCACTAAAGCACGACCCATCGAAGCATCACAGGCCTTCAAAAACGCAAAACGCTGATTGTCACATGCTACACAGGGCTGTGCCATGCCTGCGATGCATCTGTATCATAATGTATCATATGATCATCATATGTTGCTGCCTCATCTTCTGTTCATGTCTCTTCTGTCCTGCCTTGCTGGTTCCTGCCGGTCCAGAGGCTGGGCATGCCCACAGCATTGCCACTGCTTGGAGTCCACAAAAGCCAGCAATCCAAGGTGCTGAGGCCTGCGCGGGAGCATTGTGAACACATTTAAAGTTTGAACAATCTGACTGACTATCCGACTGACTGGAATCTGGAAAGCACTTGAGGTTCTCAGCCAAGAGAGTAAAAATAGAGGAAACAAACGATAATATTATACTCAGCAGGCCAAATGAATGTGCTTGGTCAATCGCCGACGGGCCTGAAAAAACAGAAATGCCCAAAGGGCCAGCGCAAGAACCCATGCAAGATACCATGGCTTCCTCCAAGCTGGCCAGTTCCCATGTGTTGCAAGCCTCACGCTGACTTGACTGATCAACCAGTGGGCAATGTACCAGTAAGCGCTATTGAGTGGTTCTAGTTGATTGCTGGACTTTGGAGGTGGAAAGAATCTTTTGAAACACCTCCAACTTCTCTCGCCTGGAGATCATGCCGCAGAACTGACCACAAACCAAGAGGTTCAACAATGCTTCCTGATTCGCTTGGGCTTGATAAAATAGAACGCTCAAGAGCGTCAAATCACAAAGTAGATAAGCGTAGATAGCCTAGATACCCACTACCTTGCACTCACTACAAGCAACTGCTTGGCATAAAGGAAACCAAACGAGGCATCGGAACGACAACCTTGAGGTATCTTGAGCGCATTTTGTCCGTCCTCTATCCAACAAAGTTCTGCTACCAATGCTTGTGTATTGTTGTGACTTTGATACTTGTAGTTTCCAAGCTGCTCAACGCTTTGACAAGCGGTTCCCTGGCAACAAGGCGTGTCCTCCAGACCAGGACTCAGGGATTGTCTCTGCTCGTTGATTTCATCAAATGCCAGAAGCCATATGCCGGCCTGAGCCAGTGAAACAACAAGCCCTAGTGCATAAGTGCACTCAACAACCGGCCGACTGAACACAAATAATTGGGGATGCTCAACTGGCACCTTTCCCCATGGACAAAAAGACCATAACTGGCAAGCCAGCGACTTGACACTCCTTGTCAACATCCAGCTTTGCTAGGTCTGATCAGAAAAGCATACACACCGAGTTTCTAACACAGATGTGAAAAATTCACCTGTTTGATCCTGTTTGTAAAAGGCAATTTTCCACTTCCATGTGTATTTAGGGAGTACTCAGTACTCCTGAAAAATCATTACATCAATAACAATGCCCGTCCATCCACCAGAAAGTGGAGGTCTGGATGCCTATACAAAAGCACCAAAGTTAGGACACGTCAAGTCATTTCATTACATAGCTTTCACACTGGGGGAAAGATTGAGGATATGGCATGCCATGCCTTGGAAGGAATGAGGAATGTTGCCAGGGCAATGTTGCCAGGAACAGCAAACTTGAATGGACAGGCCAGCCAACTTGAAATCCGATGCATTCCAGGAGCCAAGAGCCACAGGCCCCAAGAAACCACGAGCAGCACAAGGTCAGCAGTCTGCACTGCCTCGATCCTTTCATGAGCAATAACATGCGATAAACGTGCTTATGATTGTGATTTGCTGTGGGCTTAGAATTGGAAGTAGTCACTTGCCACAAATTGTTCTCCAAGAATCCTTCGCCTCTGCCGTAAAATGTCCTCATCACTCTGCAAATCACTGGATTCCACCGCTTTGGTCGATTTCGGCGTCTTCTTTGGCATGGGGTGGAGGCACGCGCACACTTCGAGTAGCAGTTAAAACGGCCTAGATCTGGGAGGGTGTGGTCCCCCTGCAGGCTGGAGACAATTTAACAACCTTTGACCGTTGAAACCTTGACATTGAAGACTGCTTATATACCTGTTTATCCTGCGCAGGTCTGGGTGGCTGCAAAATGTTGCAAAAATGTAGCACCAACTAGAAAGAAGCTATTCAAGCACTTTCCATGACGGTCTCAAATGACTCAGCCATCTTAGCCAAGCGCTGCGCGCCAGTCGAAGAGTATCAAAAAGTCATGCAGTGATTCAGTTCAGTGTAGATTTGATTTGTCGCCTTGGTTTGATTACATATCCTGCCACTCCTGCAAACCGTGAAACTCGAGGAAAACAAGCAAGGCTAGCTGAGCAACATAAATGAACAGCAATTAGTAAGAGTGCCCCGAAACATCTGTCCTTACTATGGAATGGAAATCAGGTGCCTCTTTGCCCCTCCCCGAAATGGAGAGACTGAGATGCAGGCCCGCCGCAAAGGTTTTGATGGCTGCTTGGACTGAGCACGGGGATCAAGATCCACTTCGCAAGGGCACCGCAAAGCGCAGCAGAGCGAACCCTGCTCAAAACAATACATGGATTTTCATGGCGTTCAGACGCTGCTCTCGCAGCTTCATGCAAAAACTGTGGACAATTACCACAACCTGTTGAAAGAAAAGGGCGAGGCCTTCAATCACTCCAGCCGCAAACGATCATGCGAAGACCACTACAATATGCTATGCCTAGCATGGACCTAGCTAGTCCCACCTGTCGTTTTGAAGTGCGCGACATGCCCGAGACTGTGCCATAACGCTTCCCTCATGTGCACAAACAGCATGGACGTAGGCAGCTTCTGAAGTTGTTCAGAGCTGCCAGGAGGTGGTGTGCGTATGTTTGGCACAAGCCGGGGTTTGCCTTCGTAGCATTGTCCCCGCAGAATGGCAACACAACGCGTCAGCAGATTGAATATGCACCCCACATTTGTCCAAATAAGAGCTCGGGAGCCCGACAGTGAGGGGTGCCGGCAAAACCGAGCAGCCGTTGATCACGAGGTAACCGTACCACACAGTTCAAGTCAGTCAGCATAATTTGCTGCTGGCCATGCGTAGTACTCATACATAGTAAGCTTCATCTTTGGTGTTGTGTGATGGCAAAAGCTACTTGCTCCATGTAATCTTGGCACCGTTCCTACCAATTCTGATCAAAGTCACAATGTGTTTCTCCTTCCCAAGGGTGTGGCACCTGTCCTTAACTTCTCCAACCGACGCCGGCCAAGTGGGCCCGCGATCTCTTCGCAAAGAAGAAGAAGAAGAAAGAACTCGTGTGTCACAGTTTTTCAACGTCTGGGCGCATACATGCTCTGTGGCGCCGGTTGTAGGGAACAATCTGTGCGTCTGGCTTTCGGCTGGTTCGAAGATTTGTCTGGCCGAGATGGCCCAACTGGCTTGACGTGCGGGGCCGCCAGCACAAAGCAAAGCAGAACAGCGGAAGTAGTGAGAGGTAACCTATTGATGCTGACCCCATAGGTTACAAGCTGATCAGTCCCTTTCAACTTGCCTTCAAGTGCCAAGTGTTGATTCACAATTTCCTGCTTTTGCACGCGCCTCCAAATCTTTCCAGCCATCAGCCCCTTTTGCGAAAGGAAATTGGTCAAGGCTTTGTTGAAGTCGTTGAATGCAATTTGTTCCTCCACTATCGTGCAAAGTCAGTTGACGACCTCAAGCGACATAGTCCTGGAAGTTCTGGAGTTTCGGGCCACAAGTAAACAATGGCTTTGGACTGATCATCCCGCCAGAAGAGGTCTTACAAGCACCTGCGTCCACATCTCCGACGCTTGTGCAGCCAGCAATCCATTTACCCTTCCTAAGCCAGCTTGTGCTCGCCTCACTCCCGTCTGGCATATACGTATAATAGTCTGCACTTAGATCTGGCCACAGTTTTTCCAAAAGTTGTCACGCGGTTCAAAGGCAAACCGTCCCGCGTGCTGCTTGGAGTGGTCATGAAACTTCACCTAGCACTTCTCGTCGCTTCCCTTTCACCCAATGTTTGACAGAACTCGCGAACACGGACTTGCACAGGAATCGAACATTTGGCGTGAAACGCAAGCATGTCATGTCAGGTCATTAAAGCACCGATGCCACAATGCAAACAGGGCTGCGCAGGACTCAAGCATGCAGTAGAACCCGTACACAGGCCCCAGCACAAAAAATTGCTCCAAGTTGTGCCAAATGTTTTTTGCTTGCGCCCTAAATGGTCTTTGGCACCAGAGCAGAAGCAGAAATGTTCTGGCCAAGCAATAGTGGCTACGCTCCACACACGCACTCTCCTCTCTCCCTCCCTCACCTGACCTGGCTCTAGTCGTGTATATAAATACTTTGGCATTTTAGGCACTACACTGGTTACACCGCTCGGTCCATCAACCACACGGCCAGTTGCGTTCCTCCGGTGGAGCAGCAGCGAAGAGCATGACCTTCAGCCATGTTGATGAGCCCAGGAGTACAAAATATATACAACGAAAAGGTTCACGCAAAGTGCTGAGACTGAACTTAAACCAACATACAGCATACATTGAAATAGTATATATATATATACTATATATAAACACCGCTCCAGGAATTCCGATCTGTGGGGTAAAAATGATCAAACTGACCAGATTTGAACCGAAAGAGACCTCTATAGTCTATATATACATACACACATACATATGGACTTGTGTGTGTGCCTTCTTCCAAATGACGTGTCTTCATCCGTCTCTGGGCATTCCCTGCAGCTGTTAGCACAAGTAGTGCTGACAGAGTCACAGGCCTCACAGGTCACACGAGACACAATACGCATAGGCTTGCAAAGAGTCTACACTCTCTATATACTCACTCAGATTTTATCTAGATTAGAGGTTGACTGTGCTCCATGAAGTTGTAGGTTTGTCGGTGTGCTGCAGTCAACCCATGGGCCAGCTGGGCTATGCGGCAAGGAGTGCTGTAAAGTACCCGGCAAAAAGAGCAACGGGAAAGTATACCTTGGAGCAACAGCGCATTGTAGCGTGCGATGGTCACACAATGCCGTGAGGCACAAACCTCACAGTTCACAAGCAATGAAAATGTTCATGACCAAAGGACCAAAGCGATGTTGGCAATGCATCACCCAACCCAAGCTGGAAATCCAAGTCTGAACACGTGTTTCATCCTGGATGCACACATATTCGACTGGTTGTTGCAGTACTCGCTGTCAACTGCCACTAGAGTTTCAAGGGCTTCTTTATGACTGACCCGTTAAGGGCAAGGCGTGATCGCAGTTGAGAGAATATGTGACCTTTGGAGTCAGCCAAATGCTTCGAACCAGTGTGTCTTTCTGTGGGCGAAGTGCGAAAGCCATTTGGCTGTTTGCAAGTTCTTCCACTTCCGCAGTACTTGATCTCAATTCGGCCGGCAAGCTTTACACCTGCCTGATGACACTTCAATGCCTAAATAGTAAATAGATTCCAAATCCAGAGCTTAGTCCAGCACACATTTTTGACCAAGGCTGAGCTCCGCTTCACCAGCAGACCAGCCACCCAACCATGGAGCAACCTCAGTGTCATTGGTGGGTGCGGTTTACTTCTCTTCGATGGCTACTTTCATCAGCCTGGTGGCATGTCTGAGTGCAAGGGCACAGCATGATGAGGCCTTGACCACAGGAAAATCACTGCCAGTTGCCAGCAGCTCGGTGTGTGGATCCTAGGTGCTCAAGGAAGGGCTCTTGAAACAATGGAAGTTTCCAGCTGCTTCCAATCTAACTG